TAAGAAGAAAGAAAATAGTACTAAAACTAAGGAATTGTGTTTTCCTTAAACTGTGTGAAATCGTTTACCCATATTAAGGCAGCCATGTCCTTGGAGCCATTTCAAGGTAATATTTCCTTAAAATAACATATGTATTTTTTCCTATGTACATTTATACTTACATACCACCTTTACTGTGGCTTTAAATATCTAACCCAAACATCTCCGAGCTCGATTAATAAATTTCACTTCAAAAACACAAACAAAAAAATACCCCCACCAAGTTAACGTTTGAGCTTCCAAGCACTAACGTTTACAAGCTTATACAACATAATGAACGATCATTTTCCATTAACTAATTGCATTTTAATTGTGGAATTATAAATGCTTTTTGGTGCAAAATAAGTAAATACCAAAAATTGCTCATACGCACTGTTGCACGCGCAGCCAAAATCATCAAAAATGCATTTGGAATGCTTTCTAGCGTGCGCTTAGACTAACAGAGCACAACTGTAAAAATTTACATACATATGTACTTAAATATGTATGGCTGTGTGCAAATAGTAATGGGCAGCAAAAACTAAAAATTTGCAACGAACAGGCTGCTAAAAAGAGACAGGGCAGGGGAACAGTAAATAGGCATTCATACTCACCATTCAACTAACTGCGCGTGTGATGGCAGTTTTGTTTGCTGACACGCGCTGATAGCATCTAAGCTCACCCAACCTTGCAAATAACCACACACTAATGCTTAATGTAGTGATTGTTACTGTAATTGTAAAGCAGTATTGTAGGTTGAAGTGGTGCTAGTGGCGGTTTGATGCCACGGATTGTTATTGCACCAGTTTAGACACGTAATTCGCACAACTATGAATGTTGCAATAATTGAGTTAAAACACTTCATGAAAATGTGCAGAGAGGATGGTCAGCTTATACACACATTTACATAGAAGTAAGAAGCAGAACAGCAAATTAAACCACAAACCAACGGCGTTGTGCTAAAACTATATTAATAGCGTACACAGTTGCTATAGCTCGGATTGTTTTAGTTGCGGTTTATGCGATTTATGCGGTTGGGTTTGTAATTCAAATGGTTTGTTAGTGGGATGGCATACATTTGGCCAGTACTAGCACTTGCAAATTTCTGAATGCAGTTTTTCAATGCTGAGTGGTTGTTAGGCGCACAAGTGTGAGAAAAAGTTTTAGCGCTTAGTCGTTTTTGCTTTATTGCTTTGCGAAAATTTGCATCGTTTCCGCATAACGCCCAAATGTATGCAACACTAAGAAAGTCGCTTATTTTTTCTGGTGCTACTTGCACTTGTAAGCCAAGCCGTGTAAAAAAGTGTGAAAAGCTCACTCAAAAAAATGCAAAAGGAGAATACAAGCTAAAGAGAAGAGTTCTTCAGCTGTACCAAAAAAAATTTCTTCGTTTGTTTTCATACTGACTTTCATTTAGCTTNGTTGGGCGAACGTTCCAAAAGCAGCTATTCAATCGCTTGTTTTGTATGGAAAAAGCTTTCACATGCAAATGGATTTTAACAATTCAGAATTTTTGTGAGAAAAAATTAAAAATATTTGACATTTTCGAGACCCAATAATTTGAAAATGAATCAAATCAGCTGCTCTACTGATACTACCTGTTCAATGTACCTTGGCTTCAAGTGATTGAAATTATGATGAGTGGGTGGGGGGAGATGGTTACGGCAAGGCGGCGCTGGAATTTCGATCAGCACCTTCGTTTTCTATGCCATGTTAACTGTTTATAGTGATCGAGATGTTAAGTTAGACTAGTGACGTTATTTTAGTTTATACGTAGAGTGTCTTTTGTATACTGCGTATTCCTGTGGCTACACTTAATCGTCCATATACGCATTTAACCAACTGAAAAAATTAAAAAGCTAATTCTGTAAAATGCCAACCTTTCCGTATATCGATGGTCCTCTGCATTAAGAACACAATTCTAATCCTTGTCTAATCCATGTCGAATCGTTACGACTTACTGTTAACAATAGGAAGGGATTAAATTTTGAATTGTGTCGTTATTGCAGAGGACCATCGATATACGGAAAAGTTGGCATTACAGAATTCCAATTTTATATGGGAAACACCAACACCACAGATGTTACATGTAGAAAACGTCTTAAAATTTAGACGTCTACATTTTGAGACACTATTTGGTACGAACTGTGAACACCCCAATAGAAAATATTTCAAACCGTATTGAAAACATTTATTTACATTTAATTGTACTTATATTGTATTGTTTGACAACTACTACTTTGGTTTTTCTNAGAAAATATTTCAAACCGTATTGAAAACATTTATTTACATTTAATTGTACGTATTTATATTGTATTGTTTGACAACTACTACTTTGGTTTTGCCGATTTTGACAATTTTCAAGTAAAAGTAAACAACGCCTCAGAGACTTTAAATGTACTGAAACTCACTAATTCTTTCACAAAAATTACCATTTTTTAACATTTTCTTTAGTAATTCGTTTTTCTCAAGCCATTTTTACAATTTAAAACAATTAAACCACGTTTCCTCTCGAAAAATTTAATATTAAGATAATTGACTATTCTCAACCAGTTCCAAGCAGTATTTTTTACATTTTTAGGCGTTTTTTTTTTTTTGAAATCTTGATTTTTCGAATACCGAGTAAACTGGATTTATGCAATCGAATAAACCGGGTTTTCCCCTAGTCTATTTATACATCAGAATCAAGCCATATCAAACAGGTAGTAGCATTAGAGCAAAAACCACATTTGCTTGTCTGTTGTTGTTGCTTCTGGTATCGAAAGTGTCAAAAACGGTTCTGATTTTTTTCTTCTAAATCAAAGCGTTCCATGTGAAATACAAAAAAAAAAAAAATTAATTGAAATTGGAAAAATTAAAGGTTTTTGCAACTTTCTTTTTTAATAAATTTCTTTGCTTATCGAAGCATTGATCCATCCTTTGCAAGGCCGAGTAATCAGCGGGCTGAGTTGTGCGAACATACCAAAATCTGCTATTCAAACGCTTGTTTTGTAGGGAATAGAGTTTCACATGCAAATAGATTTTACCAAATTAAAATTTTTGTGTGAAGAAATTACAAATATTTGAAATTTTTGAGACCAAATAACTTGAAAAAAATCAAATCATCTGCTCTAATTACTACCTGTTCAATGTGCCTTGGTATGTACATATCTCAGCTTTGCTGCAAGAGTGTCATAAGTCAAAAGAAATTTTTTTGATTTAAGTATGCAGAAATGACGGCCAACGCTTATTCTATATATTATTATTCTATAGAAATTTCATTTTGATTAACAATAACTCATTAGAAGAAAATGTAGAAGTATATGTAAACTGTAACTTTATAGCCTTTTTTATAGTTTTTGAATTTTGTGATTATGTCACTCTTGCAACAAAAGTTCGATATGTACATATATAACCATAATGAACTTTACAACAAGCCAAGGTGGATTTATAAAGTGAATATTTTAAATATGCAATTGAAAGAATGTAAGCGTAAATTTAAAAAAAAATTACCATCAAGTATATTGTCAGATGCATGTCATCAATCATACATACATATCGCACGCCTAGATCTAAGTGACTTTTAGTGAGCTAACTCAAAATTCATAGAGGGAAATTTAACTGCTTGTGGATAGTACAGATTCAACGCAATTAATATAAAAACCAGTATAATAGTAGTTTTTTAGTTAATGTATATAATCATGAAAAAAAATATTTCCATTTGTTGGATGTAAGTCCTATGAATATGCAAAAAAATCGCCACATTTTTTTTTTTTTTTTGAGTTGATCGCACTTTAGATCTAGGTGTGCGATATGTACATATGTGCATATATATGTATGAACAATGCTACATATATTAATGTACAAAATATATATCTACTATAAGGCACTAATGTCAGTTTAACTGCACACATATTCATGGAATATTGAACTTCGTTATCCGTTCAGAAAATCTTCGAGGGCATCCTTAGTTGTAGGATCTTCCAGCACAACTTCCTCGAGTGCAAGTGATTGTGGCAACGTTTCTGTTTGAATTTCTACAATTAGAAGTTTACATAGGTTTATGACGTTCGTCGAAAGCTACAAATTTACCCACTTGTTATGGTCCCCTTTGTCTTGAATTCTGCCAAATCACCGCGGAATGCATCATCAAATACTGCTTGGCGTTCTCGCTGTATTCGCCGCAATTGTTGCTCGTGCTGTCTTATCTTATCCTGATGTTCAGCAGCAACACGCTGACGATATGTTTCTAATTCAACTACGTGTAATTAATAAACGGATTAAGAAAACACGCGACTATATCATTTGAATGTATTGATAATCATAATTCAACAACCAACTTACTCATTTTCATCTGCTTAAATTGTAATAGTTCACACTGTTTATTCAGCATATACTCCTGTAAATCACACTCTTCACATAAATCCTGCAAGCGCTCCAATTCCATTTCCACCGAAGCGCTTAGTGCGTCCACCTTTTGCAACGTCTTCGCGCTTTCACTTAGTTTCTCCACTAACGCTGGTATACCCGACAAACAGCTTATTAAATCTGTCATATCAACATGCAGTGCGCTTGTACGCTGTCCAATTTGTTCAATCTGTTTGGCCACTTGTGACGCTTTTGAGGCGTTCTCCTCATTTGCAACATGCAATATTCTCCAATCATCTTCATATTTGGCAAGCAAATTACAACCAGCAGCCATATTTAAATCTGCTGGTACAATCACATCATTAAGGGAAACATGCCCAAAGGAGTGAGAACTGCGATTGCTGGGTATACTGTCGTCTAGGGTGGGTGTAGTGGCGCTGCTACCGGTGGACGAAGCCTGTCTTTGTCGATACTGCTGCTGCAAGTTTTCAGTAATGATAAAACCCTCTTGGATAGCGTTGTTTAGTTTTTTACGCAAATTTCCAAACATTATTGTACTGATTACAATTTATTTAATTTCTTTTTATTAATCAAGAAGAATTTGGGATGAATTTTAGGAAAATAACAGTTGTAAACAGAATCAGCTGACTGAGCAACGTCAATAAACAAAAAAAAAAGGGTTGCCTACTCACGCAAGTGTAGAAAATAGTTGTGTTTTGTTCGGTTATCCAGCTCAGTATCACGATTTTATACTACTAGCACGAGGAAGACGAATTTATAAGCATGAGCTCACTAAATGCTGAAAAGTACAAATATTTAACGTAAAAGCTACCAAACCGCACTGCCAAATTATCAGTCACACAAACCAAACAGAGCGGACCATAAATTGAACCAGATCTCTATTAGGGAGCTACTCTGTAATGCGATACGAAAGAGAAACGGATGCCGGCCGGTTAAAAACTATGCAGCCCGTGTAGTCGCCGGAGACTAGCAGGACGCAGTGGATGAAGCTACATACCGGCCATAACACGGCACTTCGGACACCGGCCGAAGGCCTTCTGATGTCGCCCCAACACCCCCTATACAACGAGGCCCAGATGCTTCCCATCAAGGAGGAAAATAGACAGCTGCGCTTTGGCTCAAACCAAGGGGAATTTATACAAGAATACAACAACACCCACATGTATTTTGTACTGCGCCCAACCGATACCACCAAAGCGAATTTATACAAGGCGGTGTTATTAGATCAGCTGATTTCTTGGTCTTACGTGCATTTTGTTTTTGCTTTTACTGATTTGACAGCGCACACATCAAAAGGAAAAACAAAATGCATTTACATTTTGCGGCGAATTCAGATTTGACATAACATTCGTAATCAAGGAGTATTTCACAAGGTGGTGTATAAGGCGAATTTATACAAGGTGGTGTTGCCTTGGTGGTGTTACTGGCGAATTTAGATTTTCGCCGCGGTCTTTCTGAATGTCAAAGTTATGCGTTTGTTATAGTATGAATTCGCCTTGTTTACAACAAACACATCATTTTACATTCAGCAGGACCGCGACGAAAATCTAAATTTGGCAGTAACACCATCTAGTATAAACTCGCCTTGGTGGTGTTGGGGCGACAGCTGAGTTTTTCGCCGTGAAAAGCATTACGTCAAAATGATGTGTTTGTTGTAATTCATATCAATGACAATATGGACAGTAATCAAAAATACATGTGGTTGTTGTTTTTATATTTCTGCTACCACCTTGCATAAATTCGCCTTGCCACCTTGTATAAATTCGCCTTGAACACCTTGTATAAATTCGCCTTGAACACCACCTTGTATGAATTCGCTTTTCCACCATCAAGGTGAATTCGCGTTGAACTCCTTGTACGAATTCGCCTTGTGCGGGTGCAAAGAAGGATAAGCGTAAAAGCTTGTTTACATGAGGCGATATTACAGACAACTTTTAGTTTGTACAACAATCGCCAGGTATAAACAGTTTTTCAACAAATCACTTTCAATGAAGTTGCTCGGTAGAAAACGTAGAATTCAACTGTTAAATCGGACGGGAATCTGGAGTAAAACTGTTTATAATTTATAATATTATGTAATATAATATAGACCATTTTCTTAAAGAAATACACATTCATATAAATATTTAATACTAACCTACTTCAACGCATGTTCAGGTAAAGCATTAATTGCTATCACGGTGGCGCAGAATCGGGAGATTTGTCCAACGAGGATTTCTGCTCGCTGATTGGCTCTGATGTAGTAGTTGAATTATTATCATTTTGTATATTAACTGTATTTTGTATTGTTGCTGTAACAATCGGTGTAGTTAACGCTAATAACGGCAGTGGCGATTCCAATACTTCCAAACAAGCATTATGTGACGGATCTGATTGAGAAAAATCCGAAAAGCTTGGAGGTACTTCAGTCGTATTGCTGACGTGATTTCCTTCTTCCAATGAAGACGAAAGAGGTGATTTCGATTCTGATGCATATACCGTGGGAGACACTAACGCGCAGCTTTCTGCTGATGATATGATATCATTCTTATGTAAAAATGAAGTCGATGGGTTTAATATATTTGATGAATCTATTGATTCTTCCATCGCATCGATGTCAATCACAATCGTATTGCTAGGAAGAGCTTTGCCTGTGCATATTGTCGACGAATTAGAGTGAGAATCCGACGCAACTGTGTCTAAATGTGGGCCGAGTGTTGCTGATTCACACATAGAGGCACCCATAACTGTCGCCGTTGCAATTGATAAAATTGATTGAGGTGATTTCGATTCTGATGCATATACCGTGGGAGACACTAACGCGCAGCTTTCTGCTGATGATATATCATTCTTATGTAAAAATGAAGTCGATGGGTTTAATATATTTGATGAATCTATTGATTCTTCCGCCGCATCGATGTCAATCACAATCGTATTGCTAGGAAGAGCTTTGTCTGTGCATATTGTCGACGAATTAGAGTGTGAATCCGATGCAACTGTGTCTATATGTGGGTCGAGTGTTGCTGATTCATACATAGAGGCACCCATAACCGTCGCCGTTTGAATTGATAAAATTGATTTTCCATCGGTTTCGCCCAGTGATATGTCGCTTTTACTTTTCGCATCGCTAGATGGTGTCGATTCTACCGAACATATTGTTGGGGAATAGGGTGAAGGCTTTGTTGCCTCTGTATTTACATCATGGACTGCCGTCGATTCTTTGCCTAGTATTCTGTCGATCCGTTGCATTTGCTCTAAGCAGATCAATGTCGGACAATCCGGAAATGCTGATATTAATGTGTTGGACACGTTGTTTTCTAGCGACATTAAACTCTCTGGCTCGACAATCTTTTTTGTCGAGCTCGACAAGTTCAAGGTTTCTTTAGGGTTCTCTTTAGTTATTTTCATTAAGCAAGGCGCATGACTGCCTTGTTCTTCTTGCACTGTTGCTTTAGCATCATTATCAGATACGATTTCAACTTCGCTATCCGAAGAGCTTAATAGCGTCACAGTTTCAACTGCAGTGTGGCAAATATCATTAGTATTATTTTCCATACCGCTCTGTGTTTCACTAGTTGAGCTTTCTGAACCGCTTTGTTGATCAGTATTTGTGTCATTGTCTGTTTCGGAATCTATACAAATGCAATCACCACTTTTTACCTGTATTGCATCGTTTGGACTAGCAGAAGCTTCTGAACTATCTGAATCTAATTCCAAAATGTCTCCATTAACATTGCCAGCTGATTCTGTTTGCTTCAGGCGCTCATTTTTCTTCATACGCTTTTTTCGCAAATTTTTACGACCATCATTTTTGCTACTAGTTGAAGTTGCAGATGATAAACTTATTTGCAAAATTTCACTACATTCAGAGTCTCCATCTTCTGAGTTCAACGACGAGGCATGACTAGAAATAGACTTTTTATCGAGTTGAGGTTCAGTGAAATCGACGTCACTTATTTGGGATTCCTCTTGCAAAGCATTAACTTCAGCAACTTCATTGCCTGCCATCAGTGCACTATATAACATTAGTTGTTGTATTTGATGTAGCCTATAGCTATCGGCCATTAAAGCCGCATCCAGTTCTAGCGCAGCATTTACACCATGCTCATAGTAAGCCTGTTCTTCATTTGGGGTCACTGGTGCTTGTATGGGCTTTTCGTGCCTTGAGCTTTTTATGCTTCTACTTCTACTGCGATCGCTGCTCCTACTTGTACTACAACTGCAACTACTTTCGCTGCTACTACTGCTGCTGTTTTCACGTCTATTTGATTTACGTTTTTTGCTTTTATTTTTCACTTTTCTTACTTTTTTTTGTTTTCTAGATATCGTTTTCTTACGCTTTTTTCTTCGTTTCATTGAGTTTCTCCGACGATCACCGTCTGTTGAACTACTCAAAACGAGATCCCCGCTGGAAGAACGACTTTTAGAATACTTTCGCCCACGCCTTTCGTCAAGTTCTCTTAATTTCTTTCGACAGTTTTCCTGAGTTCGATCGTTTTCACGCTTGTTGTGCGACATCACAGAATTCAATGTGCGCCCAAGAAAACGTTTATTTGGCTTTGCTATCGGATTGATCTTGCGCTCCTGCACTGGGAGTTCTTTGAGTTCACCCATTTCGCGAACGATTTCCGCTATCGCCAACCTGTTAAAATTGTAAATTAATAACGGTGGATTTATGTAAAATAAATATGTATTAAGCGCTTACCGTGTAAGTTCTGCGTCATCCATGATAACTTGCTTATTGGTAATATTTGTGTGCAAATCTAGCTAAAAGCAAAAAATTCAAAAAATTTGCGGAGATTTCTTAACAAGTCAACCATCAACAAACAGCTGACCTTGCAGGGTCGCTGCCATATGGGAAAATTAAGAGTGTGTCAGACGTGGCAATATTTCAACTTTTTCACGGAATTCGTTGCCAAATTGAGAAAAGGAAATTTTATTTACATGTGTGAAGAGCCAAAAGACCTTTTCGTCCCTTTAAGGAACTGAGCTTCAGAAATTAAAGTTGCATGGTGTGACTGCAACTGAAAGAGCGCAAATCGATTTCGGAAATATATTTCATCTCACATGTAGAGAGACGGCTCGAAATTTATATCTAAAGTTATTTATACAGATATGAAAAATAATTAGGAAGAAAAAAATAAACAAAATTTAGCTGCAGCAGCTGCTTTTACATGAATGCTGCAATATACAAATATATCTATGTATGCAACAGTATTTGAAATGAATTCCTTGCAAACATGGCTCTAAAGTAAGTTCAATAAGAGTCGAAGAATAAGGCCAATAAGACTTACAGAACAGCATAAAAAAAGACTCCGAAGGTAGGCATTTATGAGGCCAATAAGAGTCATTAAAGAGCTTCAAAAAGAGTCCAAAATGAACTGTATATGAGGCCAATAAGAGTCCAATATGACTCATATTGAGGCTCATTTGATGTATGAATTTAAGCTCATGTAGGTCGACCTTCGCAGGAAGGGAAACACCTTCATTTCGGACTCTTAAATGATATCATTATGAGCATAAAGGCTCCGAAATGGGAATCCTTAAATATTCATTTATGACTCCAAATGTTTGCTGGGAACCCACTAGAACTTGAAGGGAGATCTCCCTATGTGAGGAATAAAAGAGTACTCACCTTAACCTGATTTCTGAGCAATAAGGGAGTAATGTCGGTTTTGTACTCCTTTATTACTCGTTTAGGAATCAAATAGGGGATCTCCTAAGCTAGCGACGAAATAATACTCCCTGAGGCATGATTTGGGACCAATAAACGAGATTTGTCGGTTTTGTCCTCCTGTATTGCTCGCTTAGGAGCGTAATGAGAGATCTCCTAAGCGAGCAATTAAAGAATGCTCCCTGAGGCATGATTTGGGAGCAATAAGCGAGATTTGTCTGTTTTGTACTCCGTTATTACTCGTTTAGGATTAAAAAGTGATGTCTCCTAAGCGAGAAATCCAAGAGTATTCTTTTTGATTGATAGGAGAGCAATACGCACCTCGTTCAAAAGAAATTTTGTGTTTTCGGAAAAATGTATCATAGAAAAAAAAAACAACAGAAAATATTTCTTATAGATGCATAAGGAGGACACAATGATCTAATTTGGATAGCACACAGATTTTAATAAAAGTCCGTTGGTATGTACCTCAACTTTTGTTTAAATATATTAAGTATTGTCTTACTTATAAATATACCATTAAATACTTTTCAGATTGCGCAAATTAGTGTTTCATTTAAGTGTGACCCCCGGGTTTAAACATCGCATGGGTGACAAAGATGTCAGATAAGCAAAGTCACCTTCACAATTTCCCCGCTTGGTGGATTCCTGAACAGGCAAGCATCCTTGACACCCAGGAAATCATATACGAGTACATACTTATATGTGCATATAATTCAAATCTTATCTTA